ATATGTGACAAGTTGTTGAGGCTGTTAAGGTTGTAATCATGATGAAAAGACACTACATAACCAGTGCAGCTATTGTCAAGTGCTTTAGTGTGCTCCCAGTGACTCATCCCTTAGGGCAGAGGTCGTCAACCCCCAATCTACGACCTAGTGCTGGTCTATGGCCTGAGCTGGACCGGGCTGCAGAGACAGACCTCCTGCCTCCCTGCACACACACTCCCCACCCCGTAGCTGATTTGCACACACACATACATGTGCCAGTGCCAGGGTGAGTGCTCCCGCACCGCTTCACACATGCACCTCAGTACCCATGTGAAGGGGTGGGCGTGCACACACAGGGGTGTGCAGGCGCTCCTGTGCATGCACAAAGGAGTGGGGGAGTGCTCACACTGGTGCTGGCGGGCGGGCACGCTCCCCCACCACTTCGCACATGCACCTGAGAGCTCAGTCGGTCTGCAGTCGCAAAACTGTTGGGGACCGCTGTCTTAAGGGATCCCTTAAGTTATTTACCTGCAGCAATCCACAATAGCTAAATGATCTGAGACATGATTAGAAACAGACTGATGTTATTTGGCCTGAATCATATACTTTTTTTTAACTGTTATTTGGCCTGAATCATATACTTTTTTAAAAAATTGTGCAGAAGAGTTCTGACTCTCTCCCTCTCTCTTCCTGTCTCTCAAATATTCTGGAATGTCTATCTTTTCTGAAATGGTCATATAAATTTTGGGCCTTGCCTGCTTTATATTGTTTTCTCAGGTTGCCTTTCTTTGATTTTTGCCAGTAGAAGAATAAGGAGAGCAATGAGAAAATAATGCTTGCCTTCTGGAAACAACATATGCCACTGGGTAAATGGGGGCTTTACATTGCTGAGGACTGCAGTGCAGGATAATCTGCCATGGAGTTTAATTCATTCTTCATTGCAAAGTTATGCAACAGCAATTCAGGCAAAAGTGTTACATAGTGCATAGTATGGGCTTAGTTAAGCCTGATGAAACTGTTCAGAAGTTTCAGTGATAAAAAGCTCAGCAATAGTGTGGCATTTCAGTCATCTGGAAAAAATGTTTTTGTTCATTCTCATAGACGATGAAGGGTTAGAAAATTTATAAGGGTGTCAAAGCATATGGCAGATGGACTGGATTAGGACTCATGAGTACAGTAATCCAAATCCTTGTTGCTAAATACAGTGGTGCCTTGACTTATGAACTACCGTATTTTTCTGTGTATAAGACACCACTATGTATAAAATGCCCCACTTTTCTAAATCAACATTTCTTTCTTTGCAAGAAAGTGGAGGGGGCAAGCTCCTGCTTTCCCCCTACATTTTCATTGCAAAAAGTAGCTTCCCCCCTCCAGGTTTTGCAAAGAAAATGCAGGGGAAAACGATTTCTGTTTTCTCCCAACATTTTCATTGAAAAGGCAGCTTTCTGCCTCCAGGTTTTTCAAGGAAAATGCAGGGGGAAAGTGATTTGCAATGAAAATGTAGGGGGGAAATAGGAATCACTTCCCCCCTGCATTTTCTTTGCAAAGCCTGGAGAGGCGGAGCTGCTTTTTGCAACGAAAATGTAGGGAGAAAGGGGAAATCGCTTTTCCCCTGCATATTCTTTGCAAAACATGGAGCCGGACTTCTGAGTATAAAATGACCCTCAATTTTTCCTTCAATTATTTTAGGAAAAAGTGTTGTTTTATATACAGAAGAATATGGTAATCCATAATGGATTGGTGTTCGTAAGTCAAAATGTTCATAAGTCAAAGCACCATTTCCTATTGAAATGCATGGGAACAGGATTAATCCATTCCAGCATTTCAAAAAAAAAATACCAAAATAAAAATAAATAGAGCAAGTCCCATCTTGGGACTGCAAAAACAACAACATGAATCCAAAAACAAAACAAAACAACACAGAAACATAACCCCCCCCGTCCAAACCCATCCTCCAAAACCCACCCAGAACAGTTTTTTTAAAGGACCTTACCAGTCTGAAGCTCCAAAGCCTCCTGGGCTTCCACCGCTCCAGCCACTGCTGCCTGGCCAGGGCTCCTCCTCCGCTGCCTGGCCCAATCTCCACCCCCACTGCCCGGCTGGGATGGGTCCTCACCTCCCAGCTGGGGTCTTGCTCTGCCAGGGCTCCTCCTCCGCTGCCTGGCCCAGTCTCCACCGCCACTGCCCGGCTGGGATGGGTCCTCACATCCCAGCTGGGGTCTTGCTCCTGGCATGGGGTCTGTAGCCGCTGCTTGCTTCCCAGCCAGGATCTGCTTCCCAGAGCCCAGACAGGAAGTGAGTGGCACGGATGGACCCTGTGCCAGGAGGCATGAACCTGAGAAATTCAAATGGCCTCCCGGCTGGGCTCTTGCCTCCCGGCACAGGGTCCGTCCACTCTGTTCGCTTCCCAGCTGGGCTCTGCTTCCCGGAGCCCAGCCAGGAAGTGAGCAGCACAGACGGACCCCACGCCCAGGAGGCAGGAGCCCAGCAAATTCAAATGGCCTCCCGGCCAGGCTCCTCTTCACCACCAATGGTTTGAATTTTACTTCTTTTTCCCCTGCATTTTTTTGTTTGTAGGTCAAAGTTCAGTTCGCAAGTCAAAGCAAAATTTTGCGAACGGAGCTGTACATAAGTCAAAGTGTTCATAGGTCAAGGCGTTTGTAAGTCAAGGTACCACTGTATTATAAAGAACTCTGTCTCATGCTGGGCTTTACCAAATTTGCAGTGAGAGAGAAAAGACAACAAATGTGGTGGGTGCGGTTGTGATTTTAAAATGATATTTGCAGCATTGTCATTTACAGGCGGAGGAGGTATATTTTTCTCTATAAAAATTTCATTATTTCCTGCCTGGTTAAAATGAAAATGATTGATCACTTATGCACTAGAAGGTCACAGTGCTTTATTTTGTTCTTGTCTGGCTGTCTGTTTCTCTAATCATACTATGAAACTCTTGTGTATCAAAGGATGCAAATGTAAAATTTCCTGTAATTATTTCCTGGATAATTCCTGTGGTAGTAGGAAAGTCTTGATGTGTTAACGAAAGTAATGATGTGTGGCAAGTTGAACAGTGGAATAAAATAATTGCTGAGATAGTCAAAGTCATATTGTCATCAGTTGCCGAAAGGGATTATGGCTCACTTTGTTTGGCATTTTAGGGGTTTGTGCTACCTTTTTTTAAAGTGCCAGTGTGGCTCCATGAGCTGAAGCACCTGAGCAGAGCTAGGCGTCAAGGGTTTGAATCCCCACTGTATGCATATGGACATAAGAGTGCAGCCCAAGAACTCATCCAGATTTTATGAGTTACAGTTTTTAGCATCAAACTGTTGTGTGTTGTATAACAAAGAACCTTTGTCCAAACAACTAAGTAGAAAAGTATGGAAATCAAAAGTCTTCCCTTTTTATCCAAGCCCTGGAACATTAATAGAACTGAAACAGCAAAAGCTCATAATTAATTAAAATCTTCCGAGCGTAACTGAGTTAGACAAGGAAAAGTACATCTTTTCCACAAAAAACAAATGCATCTTTGTGAAAAATTATCAGGATTTTTCAGAGGAAAAGTAAAACTTCTAAACAATGTAGTATTTCAGTTGTCCAAGGTTATCTCAAGTGACTTAGCTGTTCAATGAGGATGTGTCTTTAATCAACAGCCTGTCAAGGGATACATGTTTGCTTAGGGGAAGAATAACAGTTTCCCATAAGCAGGAATTCCAGTAAAAATTTATGCCTGGAAGATCAAGCCTTACTGCAAATTTCACAAAAATATCCAGGTATGTGATTCATAAATTGTGGTATGCCCCTCTACAATCCCAGTAGTTTCTTAGGGTTATTCAGAGGGAACGGGGCTTCTGATTCTTCCCCCTTCTCCCAAAATACAACTTTCTGTCTTTTCCAAACTTCCACACACCCCACATCCTTGTCTTGGATTATGGTAGGCTTATTGGAGATGGTTATAAGACCTTCTGACTTAGAATTCCACTATCCTGTAACAGCTAAGTTGAATGTAAGTATTAGGGATAACAATTAATATGAAATCTGCATAGCTGCCAGAAAACCAAATGCAAGAGGAATAGTTAATAGATAATCATTAACTTTATATATAGCATGAATGTGAGTCAGTGTTTTAAACAAATGTAAAACTATAACAGCGTATCAAAAATAATTCAAATGACTTGTTTTGACTACTTTGGCTTATCACGTGCTTACTTTTGTGTCCAATGTAATAACTCAGATAAGGTAAAATTGCTGTTCTGAATGGATCCCCATCCATTAGCATATGGATACTACTACTGTGCTAGAGTAAGCCCATTTGACTCAACAGAACTAACAGACGAGCTGACTCACCAAATCCCCACTGAGTCAGTGGCTCTATTCTAGTGTGACTGACTGCACTAAACAATAGAAGTTCAACCACTGTATCATGTGATCTTTGACCAAACTCTGGGAGACAGTGGAAGACAGGAGGGCTTGGCATCTGTGGTCCATGAGGTCACGAAGAGTCAGACACAACTTAACGACTAAACAACAACAATCATGTGATCATAGTCATAACTAACATTCCCAGAATCACATTGTAGTCTAATCATCTTGTGCAATAAAAGAACAAAACAAATGGCTTGGGAGACAACACTATCTTGTATAGCAGTACCATTTTCAAGTGCACAAAAAACCTTTACAGGGGACAAACTATAGTACACAGGAGAATATTATAGCTGTTAATAGGAAAAGCAGAAAAGAAAGCACCTGGAAATTTAAAGTTTCTTATGTCAGGATTCTGATTTTTTTTAAAGGTCATTTATTTCTTTTATATATTTAGTTTCACCACCCTGGCTATGAACACAAAGCTCCCTTTTACCTCCTTCAAACACACTTTTAAACAGTTTTTAATTCAATGGTTGTTTTATTATGTTTTTTTCTCTCCTAATATTGTTAGGAGTCCTTTTATTGGGAGAAAGGTGAGGCATAAATAGAATGAATGAATGAATATAATTCTTTTGCATTTACTGTTCTCTGGTTTCTTTCAGAGGAAGAATTTATCCTTTCTTTTGAGTATTGTTTTATTGATCTTCTGGGGAGCCTTGCTGCTAGGACTTCGCTTCTACTGGATGGGGAACAAACCTCCCAGCTTCTCCAATTCCGACAACCCAGCAGCAGACTCGGACAGTTTTCTAACACGAACTCTGACCTTTTTTTTCTTGCCAACCAAAAACCTTTGGCTGTTGCTGTGCCCAGATACCCTTAGCTTTGACTGGTCTATGGATGCTGTGCCTCTTCTCAAAACAGTCTCTGACTGGAGGAACCTACACACAGTGGCCTTTTATTCTGGACTTTTCCTCCTCGCTTACTCTAGTTTGAAAAACTCCAGCAAAGAGGGAGAATGCAATGGGAAAAGTGTAACAAACGGGAAGCCAAATGCCAATGGTCATAACTACCTTTCGGAATTGGAATATAAAAGTATGGAGTTGAAATGCAGCTTTGTCTTTAAAGAAGAAAATGGCATTAACAGGCACTTGCCTCAAAGACTGCAACTTCCCTCAACTGAGCAGATTGTAGTTCTGTCTTTATCTTTATTAATTGTTCCTTTTATCCCTGCCACAAACTTGTTTTTTTATGTAGGCTTTGTAATAGCAGAGCGTGTATTGTATATACCTAGTATGGGCTTCTGCCTGCTGATCACTGTGGGCACCCGGGCCCTCTATGTCAAAGCCCAAAAGCGCTTTTTGAAGAACTTGATTCTTTTGACCACTGCTGCATTAATCTTTTTCTATGGACTCAAGACATTTGTCAGGAACGGGGACTGGCAGAATGAAGAGATGCTGTATAAGTCAGGGATAAAAGTAAATCCAGCTAAAGGTAATGTTTTTTATTGTTAAGAATTGTAAATTGTGTAATTCTGTTGTACACTTCTGCATTTAATACCTCTCACTGAAAAAGATGTGGATCGCAAATGCATTTATGTACAGTTTAAATATGCTGGTTTATAGAATGCAAATTTATTTTGATAATATTGTCAAAGTCAAAAGTATGACACTTGCACAAATTCCTCCAAACACTATAGAACTCAGTAACACCCCTTGGTAGTTTAAGTCTTTGGTGGTTCATCACAGCTAACATTTGTGTGAACCAAATAATCATCAAAGTGCATCTGGGCATCAAGGTATAAAGTCATTCAGTTGCTCCTGCTTGGTTAATCGGGATTATAGTTTCTAACTTGCTCCATTTCTCTTCATAGGCTCAAAATAAATCATGGGTTTCACTCATGAAAGAGAAAAAAATGGGTACAGACAATACTAGCTTGTCTATTTTTACAAGCTTTATTCATCTGTATTGCTTCTTTGTTACATAAGCATAAAGGTACTTAGAAATACAATACAGTAATATGCAATTTTGTAAAAAAGTAAAAATCAACAAAAATAGGAATATATTTCATAGCCTTTTGCTATACTTAAATACACATGTGAAAAATGCTATGTTTCTACATGCTCACCCAACCATCTGCCAGTTAAAATCTACAGAGGAAAATCCATGATTTCTGTGTGCTGCTGTGTCTCTGCAGCTGCCGTGATCTCCCTTTCTCCCTTCTCAACTCTGTTATGACTGACTCTGTGCTGGCTGACCGGCACCTTGCTTATATTGCACCAGCCCTTGTATAAGCAGGGGATGTTTATACATTGCCATCTTTGTTTATACATTTCTCCTGAGTTGCAGATTCCAATGCTAGCAGGCTAATCCAGAATCTCATAGACTCTGTTACCCAACAGAATATTTACTGATAAGAGAAACAATAACATTCTCTTACCTTCTTTTTCTGCTAACTTAGCATATTCAGTGTATTTTCTCATAGAATCTGCTTCAGTAGCAAACTCCATGCATTCCCTATAGACGTTTATACATTTGCAGACCCAATAGTCTTAGGCTTCACTATCTTAGAAGAACTTTTCAATGACCTCTAATGGATATTTGTTACATTATTAGTTAAACAGTTACTTTTGTGTCAGACCTCACTTTCAGGGTTGTCCTGAAGTAACCTCTATTAAGCAGTTGATTGTTGTTCAAACCTTCATGATATAATTACATTTCGCTTTTCTAGAGCTACATTTCTTATAAGGTAAAGGTAAAGGTTCCCCTTGACAGTTTGTGCAGTCGTGTCCGACTCCAGGGGGTGGTGCTCATCTCCATTTCCAACCCATAGAGCTAGCATTTTGTCTGAAAACAATCTTCCATGGTCATGTGGCCAGCGTGACTAGACACAGAATGCCGTTACCTCCCAACCATGGTGGTACCTATTTATCTACTCGCATTTTGCATTTTATATACTTTCGAACCGCTAGGTTGGCGGGAGCTGGGACAAGTGACGGGGGTTCACTCCGTCATGTGCATTCGATCTTGCAAATCTTCTCTGTTTCTTTAAATGCTTGAAATACTAGGAAAACTTGAACAATTAAAAGTGAAAGGTCTGGAAGAACAGCTTGTCTTTGTTTCACATTGTATGTGGCAGCACGTCATGTACCTGGAAAATTTAGGTTGGGTTTAAACAAAATCAAAATGTCCTGTATTTTAAACAATATTATTTCAAAGCATACTGCAGAACTTTGCTTATGCAGCTTACCATAAATAGAAGCTGCATAAGCAAAGTATATAATTGAGAATATATAACTGAGAATACGTGGATAAATGCTTTCCCATTTTATGAATTGCAGCATTAAAAAAATTAAAAGGGAAAAGGAAAATGGATGCTGAAAGTCACATTGACATCCAGTTATGAATAATGGCATATACACCAGATGAAATACTAATAATTCTCATCTACAATAACTTCCCCAAGGGTTTCTAGGTATAAGGTACTAAGAAATGGTTTACTAATTGCTCCTACTTGTGCTCTGGCTCTCCTTCTGGTGACGTCCTGGAACCATGCAGATTGCCGAAGTCATGACACATAACCCCATCAGCCACACATACTCTGTGTGATCTTAGCTAGCCCCCACTCCCAGGACTAGACACAGTAGGGATTTAAATTCATACATATAAATGGAGAGCACTCTAGTTCACTATTCCAGTCTGGAGAGACTCTGCAATAGATGAAGGCTTCCCATGTATGCAAACAGGAGCATTGAAAAATCCTTGCATGCAACCTGAGTCATTTTTGCATGGAAAGGAGGTGCCTCAGTAGTGAGCTGTGGCCAGAAGGACATGACTGACTGTAGAAGACGAACTACCCAGGCAAAATTGCATCTTTGTAAAGCTGAAGATGCTCCAGAGAAGAGAAGGTGAAGGTAGTATGAGAAATTGATGAAACATTGGCCTCTTCTGTGTTAATGAATGAGTTCATGTAAGTACGGCCCCAGGGTGTGTACAGGATACTTAGAGAGGTGAGCTATCAGGTGTATGCTGGATTTTTTTGGCCTTTCAAGCTCATAAAAATATCCAGGATGGATGGAATGGCTGAATGGATAAGAGGAATGATGAACACCTCCTTAGGACAAGGCAGCACTGCTGATTCAAGTAGATCCACTAGATATCGAGGTCCTAAACTGTTTAGGGCTTTATATGTCAACATTAACACTTTGAAATCAATGTGGAAACGAATGGGCAGCCAATGCAAGGCAGCCAGAGTGGGGGAAATATGCTGATGTCTTCTCATCCCACTGAGAAATGTGGCTGCTGCATTCTGCACCATCTGAAGCTTCCGCATCAGTCTCAAAGGTAGCCCCACGTAGAGTGCATTACAGTGGTCTAATCTCAAGATTACAAGCACATGGACAAGAGTGGTGAGGGCCCTGCCATCAAGATAGGGACACAGCTGGGCAATCCACCACAGACGGAAATAGGCGGAGCGGACCATTGACGCCACCTGGGTTTCCATGGTGAGCACCGGATCCAGGTGGACCCCCAAGCTGCGAACCTCACTCTTCGTGGTGAGAGTCACCCCCCCAAAAAAAGAGAGGGAGTTTACCAAGCCACCGATGGAGGGACCACCCCCCCTCAGGACCTCCGTCTTGTCTGGGTTCAGCCTCAACCCATTTTTCTGCATCCATTACAGTACAGCCTCCAGACAGCACTGAAGGGACAGTACAACATCCACTGAGGTAGGTGAAAAGGAGATGTAGAGCTGAGTGTCATCTGCATACTGATGGCACGAGGCCCCACACCTCTGATGACCCCACCCAGCGGCCTCATGTAGACATTAAACAGCATTGGAGAGATAATTGAGCCCTGTGGAACCCCACAGTTGAGTCCCCATGGGGCCGAAACACTCTCCCCAAGATGTACTCTCTGAGGGCGGTCCTCCGAGAAGGAACAGAGCCAGGCCAGAGCCAGGCCACCAATTCCCAACTCGTAGAGCCTCCCTAGGAGGATACTGTGGTTGACGGTATCGAAGGCTGCTGAGATATCAAGGAGGACCAACAAGGACATTTTGCCCCTGTCAGCCTCCCTCAGCAGGTCATCCAACAGTGCAATCAGTGCCGTTTCTGTGACATGGCATGGCCTGAAGCCCAACTGGAATGGATCCAGGGCATTGGTTTCATCCAAAAGAGTCTGAAGTTGATCAGCTCCCACCCTCTACACCACTTTACTGAGGAAGGAAACATTGGGAATGGGCCTATAATTGTCAATATTGTCCGCCGCCAAATTTGGTTCCTTCCTAATGGGCCTAATGAGTGTCTCCTTGAAGGCAAGAGGAGCCTTGCCCTCCTAGAGAGACCCATTAATTATTGCTGTGGCCCATTCCATTGTTATAGGCCTGGCTGCTTTGATTAGCCAGGCCGGGTAAGGGTCAAGAGAGGAAGTGGTGGCCCGGCAGCGATCAAGCGCTTTGTCCATCACATCTGGTGTCACAGGCTGAAAGAATTTAAGTCTCACCGGGCAAGGCAGAGCGCTGGACATCTCAGCTTGATCAACTATATTTTAAAAAGGAGAGAGGCCCCGACAAATGGCCTCTACTTTAGATTTTTAAAATGCTGCAAATTGGTCAGGTGAGATATTAGTAGGAGACCCATTGCCTAGACCAATTCAGGATAGATCACGAACTATATGGAAGAGTTCCGCCTGCTGATTTGAAACTTTGCTTATCCAGTTAGTGAAGTGTGATTGTCTAGCAGCCCTCACCTTAGCAAGGTAGTGGTTAGTCGTGACCCTGACAGCTTTCTTATATTCTATTGGTTCCTGTCTCCAGGAATTCAAGTCTCACCGGGCAAGGCAGAGCGCTGGACATCTCAACTTGATCCACTGTATTTGAAAAAAGGAGAGAGGCCCCGATGGATGGCCTCTACTTTAGATTTTAAAAATGCTGCAAATTGGTCAGGTGAGATATTAGTAGGAGACCCATTGCCTAGACCAGTTCTGGATAGATCACGAACTATGCAGAAGAGTTCTGCCTGCTGATTTGAAACTTCGCTTATCCAGTTAGTGGAATGTGATTGTCTAGCAGCCCTTGCCTTAGCAAGGTAGTGGTTAGTCGTGATCCTGACAGCTTTCTTATATTCTGTTGGTTCCTTGTCTCCAATTGCATTGTAGCCAATACCATCCCTGGCCCCAATTGACACGTTCAGGGCCTCCAGACACCGCTTCACCACCATAGAGCGCCTAGTAACCTCCAGAGTATTTCTATAAAGAATTGCTACTCCCCCTGCCCCTCCTGCATAACCAGGAGGACAGTCAAGAGTCAAGGGAACTCCCTCTTCCCCACCCATCCAAAAGAACAAAGGATACACTAAATTAATACAGTTAGACAATAATAACAGTATTAACAAAACTGATCCAACATTAAATAATAATACAAATGTAAACACCAGTTTTAGAGTGGAGGGCCAGCTGATCTGACTACCTCAACATTGGCAGGTGGTCACAGTGCCAGAACAGCGAACAGCCTTCAAACATCTGTTCACCGTTCTTCTAAAACAAGTGGGAACTGTGCCATTGCCATATCTTCCTCTACTCATAATCACAAGGATGTTAGAACCCCCGCTGGGGGGGGGGGCAAGCCTTCCACTCCATGTCAAACGAAAAGAAAGAACAAAGGATACATTAAATTAATACAGTTAGACAGTAATAACAGGATTAACAAAATAGATCCAACACTAAACAATAATACAAATTTAAATAATTATCCATTATCAAATTAAGCAAATTATCAAATTGGGCAATATATCAAATTATCAATTCAAATAAAATTTAAATTAAGCAGTTTAAATATGATTTAAATTAGGCAATTTAAATGGAATTTAAACAGAAAAATGTACATTTGTTTCAAAAATAAGTGAGATAAAGACAACAGACTAGAACAAACTAAAATAGACTAAGCAAGATATAACCAAAAAAAATGTTCACATAAGGGCACATTTTTATTTGACCCGAAGATCTAAAGTAGACATTAGTTAAGCATGTAGATGTGTCAGTTCTCTTTATTCCAAGTGATTGAGCAAATATTTGTGCTGCAGGGATGCTTTAGTGGCAGGTGATCTCCTAGTCTCAGATTGACCAAGCTACGGATTACCTTGAGTAGTATTTGATACCTTTGAATCGTGGTTCAAATGTTGTAAGACACTGGAGGAAGAAAGGAACTGTAATTGGTCTGGATATTTCAGTGATAACCTTCTAGCAAGCTTGTTCAATCCCTGAGTTTTATGTAGATGATGTATTTTGTTTTGTTTTGATTCATTCATTGTAGAAGCTGGATACTCCTTTCTTTTGTTATGTGCCGTCAAGTTTGAATCTGAATTATAGCAACCCTAATAGGGCTTTCAAGATATGTGAGATATTTAAGAAAATGCCACCTCTGCCACCTGTGAGTTTTTTGTGGCTGAGCTGGAATTTGAACTCAGGTCTCTTGAATTCTACCCTGTCACTCTTCTTCCCTATAAGAAAGGATTGCCATTAATCCCAAATATAGGTTCTAATATCTATAAAGATATAAGTTCACCAAGTAAGACTTTCGTAAATAATTTTAAAAAGGGTTAAAATGATTGAAGAACAATTTTGAATGAGAACAACTGATTTAAAACTAGAGAAAGCTGGTGGGCTAATGAGTTCTTACTAACAGGGAAATAGTGATATAGCTCTCACCACCAGTGCTGCAGCATCTTTAAAGCACAATTTAATGTTATGTATGTCATTCATGAGTATAGAGAAATGGGTTGCACACATTTTTGCTCACTGTCAGGAAAAATATACCCAGGAGAACCAATTGAAAGGACTATTTTACTGCTGCCTTAAACTTGCCATGCAGAGGCCATTCCATTTGACCCTGAATTTAGCAGGTAAACTGCCAGTCATTAGCTGAGATGAGACTGCAGTGGGAACCAGGACAGCCACCCTCTTCATCACTTGCAATGCCTGAGGATTTGCTGTTTTGATATGCTCACATTTTTGTTAAGGGTGTGTTTAAATAACTCAAAATTTGCTGATTTGTACCTTATTGAAAATCGTGGGTGGAGAATGGATCTGGCTAATTAAAATAGCTTAAAAGATTATGAAAAATTATAGTAGGGTCAAGAAGATACATTAACGCCAGAGTGACAAAGGTTGTCCTGAAACATATCTCTGAAGATTCTCAGTTATCCAGGTGAGGTTATCTGGAAGCTGAGTCATGGCAACTGGACTTCTTTCTTATTAGGTTGAAACGTTTCACTACTCATCCAAGTAACATCTTCAGTCTGAGGAGAGTTGGTAAGAAACTCTGATATATCTTCCATGTTGGTTTCACTCCATCTAATGAGCCTACTCAGATTAGGGAGAAGTGAAACCAACATGGAGGATATATCAGGGGTCTCCTACCAACACTCCTCAGATTGAAGAAGCTACTTGGATGAGTAGTGAAACATTTCAACCTAACAAGAAAGAAGCCCAGTTGCCCTGACTCAACTTCCAGATACATTTGCTAAGATGGTTGCAATTACTGCACGGCATTTGCTAAAGATTAGTATTTGCTCTCATTCCAACAAAGTGTCAGTGACACAACTCTTCTGCTGGTCAGTTTCAGCCATGACTCAGCTTCCAGTTGTCCTGAAACCTACAGTCATATCAGCAATATTGTTTTGTGTAGTAATTCCCACAGGCCATGATTCTTCAGAAAAAGACCAGGGACAAGCTGAATAAGCCTGACACCTGTATTGGGCGAGGGGGTAACTTCTTGGTATTAGAACTATGATTGATTTTCAGAATTGAGCTAGTAGCATTAGCCATATTTGCTTATACGTAAAATCAATACATAAAACATTAATTTTAAAAGTGGGGCACATAGAAACTATTTATTTATTAAGAAATGAGTCATGGTACATTTATTTTGGTGAGTTAAAATAAGAGCTCAGCCTTCCTGTAATAAAATTAATATAAAAGATGCTGACAGTTTTCTTGTACTAAGTAAAATCACAGATATAGATATATGTCAGGATGAAAATATGATTTCTCTGTGCATAGATTAGGGATGTATATTGGACATTGACCTGGTCCTAGCCTGTATGAGGACATACAGATTGGTGCCTGACTCACCTTGTGCTCCATTGGAGACCGTTCAACCAGTATTTGTGCAGTTTTGGATTTCCAAGTAACATCCCATTCCTGTGAATGCAGAAATGCAGACAGGAAAGCCAGGTCATAGACTGACTGAATGACAAATGATACAACTATACCAGCCCCCAGAGGAGGTGCGGGCAAGACATCTTCTGGGCTTCTGGTCAGGAGAGTGGCAGTTTGTGAAGCCAGGCGCTCTGTTCTCCTCCTCGCACTCCCCACCTACTTGCCAGTGGAAAAGTCTCAGTCTCTCTGCTGAATGGAGAGGCTACCTGGAAGAACAACAGGGATTGAGCCGAGACACTTTAAAAGGGTAGTGAGTTATTACTCTTTTGGATTTCTTTTTAAAAGGGCAATGCTGAGAGTGCAAGGCTGGTGTTTTTTATTTTTAGCACCTGGCTTTTGACCTCATCCTTTCCCCCTTTTCAACCTTCTATTCTCCTATCCAGCAAAACGGCAAGTAGATTAATAGTGGGGCATCAGGGGCAGAGATAAACAGTTTATTTCTGCTTAGGAATAAAAGTAGTAAAAAAACACCCACATCAACATTCCACACCTACCATCTTTTCTCTCTGCCTCACTTTCCTCTTCTTTGGATCTGAAATTAGTGCCTCCCTCCGCCCTGCTGCTATTGTGGCTGCAGAGGTGTAAGATATTAGATGACTGCAGGAGAAAGACTCATAAACATGAACAGTATGTAGACTCTGATGATTTAATCAATAATGACTTGGAAGCATAAAAGGCAAGAAAAGTTCATTTCTAAGGTACAAATGCTTTTCTTCTCTACTGGCACCAGAGAAGGTATTAGTCATCTTTGCCCTTTTTATGCTTGTAATAGTGATGTGTCTTTTTTGTTTTAATATTTTAAGTCCCACAAATACCAAATTTAATGTGAAGAAGTAGGGGTAGATGGAATGCCAGTCTACCTCATGAATGCTCCCAGGTTCTTTGCTCCACTTTACAATTGTCTTAGAAATATATAAATAGCCAAAATTGGTGAGTGTTTCAGCATTCAGCTGAAAATAATACACATACCTAGCACAGATCCAGTAGCAAAAGGATTCACTGGCTGAAATCCTGTTACTTTGTGTAGTAAGTTGTACTAGAGTAGGCCTTCTGAATCAGTGGAACATGTGGAGGCGTGGACTCACAAAATCCCCATAGATTCAATGGGCCTACTCTGATGTGACTTCCTACATGAAGCAACAGGGTTTCAGGCACCAAATGGTTCAGGCTGTCTTTCAAGGGCCAGTGAAAGAAAAATATCTTCTATTGAGTAAAGGCAACAAATGCAGATGCAGACATTGGCTTCTCTGATTTTGAGGGAACTCCCTGTATTGACTTACATGCAGCTATGAATTCACTGCTTCATAGAACTGTTAATAGTTATTAGTTGGAGCTGAGTGCTCAGGGCAAGATAAGAAGCTTAGAAGTACTTTGGCAGAAAACAGAAGCAACTGATGTGATTCACCTTGAAAACTAAGATAACTATTGACAATGCATTTAATTTGCTCATTTGAGGAATATTATCTGTGAAAAAAGAGATGTTTTAAGCTATTTTGGAGGGATCAGCTAAGGAACATAATGGAACTTTCTCGGCAGTACTATCTGACCAGCTTACTCTGTACATCTTTATTTCTGTTTTACTGCTATAATTTATAGCATGCTGTGAAAGGGTGTTTAGAAAAGGTAGTGCAAATTGATGTACAACACAGACCTAATCTGTCATGGTCTAGGAATTTTCTGCCCATAAAACTTTAACACCAAACAAAAAGATAAGATTGGTTACTCATCCAGGTTTTCCTTCTAAAATTTCTAATGAATGATGCTCCTCAGAATGGTGCACCTGAGGAGGTCATTGTTCTTTCCTTGGGCTATCTAGGTCCTGATTCATGGGACAGCAGCAGCACTGTAGTTGTTTTTGCCTCATGTTTCACCTCGTCCTCCTTATTCTTGAATGGATTCCTAAATTGTGCAATAGGCACTTTTTGCTGATTTGTGCCTACTTTTTAAATCAGACTAATCACTCTTTGTTGAAGTGCGTACTGTTGTTCCTAGTACAAGCAATGGTAAGGAAAAAGAGAATAGGGAGACTGTATTTTCTTCTCTCCCTAAGGAATTTCTTGATGTTCAGATACCATGTTGCACATAACTGGATTGTAGCTCGTTCTGAATGCTGCTTTCTTTTCCTGGCAGCATGGGGTAACCTTGGAAATGTTCTGAAGAGCCAGAGCAAAATTTCAGAAGCTGAGAGTGCCTACAGAAATGCCTTGTACTACCGCAGCAACATGGCTGATATGCTTTATAATTTGTAAGTATGCATGCCTTTCTTTCTGTACTGGCTCATCTGTGGAGTATGATGTGAATGAAGCCATTTATTTTTGGCTTGTGGAAACAGAGATTATTATTTTTTAGCTGAGTTCTCCCCACCCCTTCCTGGCCTTTCACTTCCCCTACTCTTAATTAATAATATCTCAAACTCTGAGATAGACAGGGTTCTTTCTGCTTTTCCCATTTTTCAGATCACAATGTAATTTGACTCTGCTCTGTAGCCGACAGGGACATTTCATTTCCCAAAAAGATGTGGCAGAGTGCTGTGCTTCTGAATGAGCCTTTAAATGCACCTCAGCCCCTCTCTAGCAAAGATCAAACTCCCAAGAGCTTCTCCGCAAGCCTGAAAGCAACAGTGCAGATTCTTCTGTAAGAAATGGTGGTCCTTTCTCACACGGTGTAGCAACCAACCTCCACACGTGGCAATCTCCTTTTTAAATCACTACATAGGCATCTATTTATCTCTCCTTTTGGAAGATGGCCCCAAAGTTGCAGCTAGTGGAGAATTTCTGCAGCCTGCTCAGGTGGAATGCACAAAAATGTATTTTTAGCTTTCTGACATTTCTTGTGAGTGCAGTTCACCACACTGGTTATAACACTAAATCTCTAAATGGCTTCAGTGTCTTGTATCCCCAGAAAATGATTTCTCCTATCATTCCTCCCTGCCCAGTGAAATCTGCTGGAGGCCACAGCCTGCTCTGCATATAATTGCTTATTTAGAGGAGTGACCAGAAGTATAAAGCTTTCTTTGAAGTAGCACTGTCTTGATGGTACTCTTCCTTGAAATAAATTTCCCACCTATCTAATGCCTTTTATTGGCAAGTGAAGTTTTTTTTAAAAAAAATAACAATTTTTAGACACTTCTGGCTATAGATGGTAAATAATGTCTGAAGTGTAAAGTGCTAAATAATCGTGCCAGAAGATGAGAACATTGATTTATACCACAGACTTACTCCTCAGCCCTCAAAGTTCCAATCTGTTCCCAAAGCTACCAGTTTGTCAGTAAGAACACTTCCTTAATCTGTCTCTCATGCACATTCCCCCCCCTCCGGCATCATCATATTTTTGTTGCTTTGGTGTCTGTAAATTCGTATGAAGTGAGGGTATAATACCAGTCTAAATTATAGCTCTCTCCATGGCAACCATTAATGTTAACAAAAATTCATGTGGTTGTAATGGATAATTGACAAATTAATCTTCACAGCAACACCTGTGTTTTCACAAGGAAGCTGATTTTCTAATAGGTTGTAAAGATCAAACCATGGCTCATGTTACATATGTAATGAAGAACGGGTTTTGCAACAGAGGAACAAAAGAACAATTTTAAAAAATCTTTTCAAAACAGAGCTTGTAGAAGTATTTTAAATAATTCAGTGTCTGAAGCTGGACATAATGCAAAGTCAATGGAAGCAACTATATCATAGGAGGTGTCTGATGCCTTTGTTCTAAAAACCAAGCATTATTTTTAAGTATTGAGGTGCTTCCGGGCAGATAATAATAATCATGTGGCATCAAGTTAATTCTGACTTATGGTGATCCTTTTCAGGGTTTTTCAGGTACTGAATACTCAGAAATGGTTTACTGTTTCCTTCTTCTGGGGGCACCCTGTTGAAATTTAGGAACCTTCATATGCTGCCTTTGTTTTCTCTGGGAGGGACTTTTCTGGAGTGGGGTGACTCTTATCAGTCCAGCGGGTACTAATTGATCCTTCTTTGCCTCAGATTTTGAAAAGAGACATGTCTCTCTTCTTAAGTCTTCTTTTCCTACTCTCTTTCAGTCAGAGTCAGAAGTGTTAGTTGTGTTCAGAGTTATGTAGTCAGTTTGAGTCAGTCATGTACTTAGTATGTAGTTAGTAATCAATCAATCTATGAAACAGTTAAGCTCTGCACATGTAAACAGCCATTATTATTTTAGCAATGTGCTTTTTAAAAATCTATTCATACCAAAAAAGGAAATGTAAGCTTTTATTCTTTCTCTTACCTGTATCTCTGAGTGAGTTATTGAGACAGTAAATGCCAGTTGAGAAGATCAAAGCAATAAAGGGGTGGTCTACTTTGAGAAGACTTGAAGCTAATTCTGTTCTCTAGGTCACTGAACTTTTATCTGCTGCATAGCTAAAATGTTTTTCCGTCACAAATTTCCACACTTAGCCAAGATGCCCTAGGACTGTGCAACTTGCCCAAGGCCACACAGGCTGGTTCTACTTGAAAGAGGCACAGCGGGGAATTGAACTTCCAACCTTTGGCATCACAGCCAGATACTTAAACCATTGAGCTATCCAGTAGATTGCTCCTACCGATATTAATCAAAAGGTTTTTGTAGCCTCCTTATAAAGTAAAAAGTAAAATTTTATTAGGTGGTCATAGATCCGATTATACAAAGGTAAAATATAAAATCTTGCTATAGCGTTTTGCGAGTTCTCATAGCTAAAAATAAAAACTTAGCCATTAACTGTGTTATTATTTGATTCCCTCCAGACAACAGAAACATCAGATAGCCTGTGGGAGGTAGACCACTAATATTTATCAAATATGCCCTTATACATTTTTGAGTGTTGGTGAGGTGATTTTAATGTTTTTTTTGTTTTTCATTTTGTACGAAAAATTATAAAAGAATCAATAGGGAAACATGGGCAGGTTAAAAATGAAAACTATTGATTATGTGTTTCAGTAGGACATTGGACTCTGGGGTTTATTCCAGCTCAACAATTCTGATTCTACAATTGTCTGGACCTACTTGCCAGACTGTGAATGTGACATGATGAACTCACACTAAAAGTCTCATCTGGAAATATCTATTCTGGTTTCATTATAACTTTCCAATGGAGCTTTTACTATCAGTATAAGAAATCACCTCTGGTTTGCCACTGCTAGGACGGAGACCACTGGTGGCAATCTGGTGGTACTATTTGTCACTATTAAAGGCTTCCCCCATCCTGAGACGCCCAAAGACTTCCCCAGGCAAGGGGAAACCTCGGAATCTGAGGGGGGGAGCATAGCAAGTTTTCCATTAATTTAAATTAAATATTTCCAGTGCAAGATCTGGGTTATGCTATGTAAATTTATGTGAAGATGATTTTGCCCACAAATTCCTTAGCTAGAAAAAGATCATCCTGAAGAAGAAAGTACCGTCTATTAGTGGAGAGTGATGTTGCTGATTTTACTTTATTCTGACACAAGCTTGCCTCAGTCCACATTTGGCAAATTGGCATGCTTTCGTTTTTTTTATTGGCCATTTGGGAGATAAAGTGGCTTTCTCTGAATATCTGATGTCTCGAGCATGTAGTACTGAAAGGTGTGCTTGCGAAGAGAGATAATGTCGTAAACGGATGAAACCCATTTTTCCCGATTCCTAGACTTCCCAGTGGACTTTCTACTCTGTCAAGTAACTGTTTCCAGGAATTTCTAAAGTTGTCATATGGACCATTTATTTCATTTAAACCAGTGGTTCTTAACCTTGGGTTACTCAGGTGTTTTTGAACTGCAACTCCCAGAAACCCCACCCAGCACAGCTGGTGGTGAAGGCTTCTGGGAGTTGCAGTCCAAAAACACCTGAGTAACCCAAGGTTAAGAACCACTGATTTAAAACACAGCTCTGAACAGATAACATGCATGATTACACCAACCTGCATATAGTGCATAATTTAGTTATATTTTTAATATAGCAATTAAGACATAAGAATCACAACATGGAATATGTATGTGGGTAATGCAAATGCAACAACCTTTGGTTTCAGGTTATGATTTTGACATCTACTTCCAGAAGAGGTGTCCTCCTCTACCCAGCCACCTACCCTTCCCCCTTTTTTTAGAAAGTTGAAATGCATTCAATTTTAACCAGAAGGCAAAGTAGAAAAATAAGAAAAATAATTCTTTCATACTGTGTCATACAGGATACAGAGCAAGCCACAACAAATTTTGAGAGCATTATAAATAAAACGCAGGCTGTTGTGAACCATAGCTGAGGAGATGGAATAGTCATGGGAACATGTCCCCTTCCCACTCAGATATAGTTTTTCCCTGGCTTTTGCTGCTTGTCTTGTCTATGCTTCTAATGTTGCCAATTTCCCAATTTTAAAATAACTTCCATTTTTTAAAATTTGGTTGCAAATTAATTGTAATGAAAACATGAATATTCAGAGCAACCCTATCTTTATGAGACATAGACAAGCTTGCTATTTGCAAGACGGAGGTCTTTCGGGTGGGTGCCCAGGCATCAGTGGTCTGGGGAACTCTTTTTTTGGGGGGGTGACTCTTACCACCAAGAGTGAGGTTCACAGCTTGGGTGTACATTTGGACCCAGTACTCACCATGGAGACCCAGGTGTCATCAGTGGTCCATTCCGCACACTTCCACCTTCGGCAGATTGCCCAGCTGCATCCCTATCTTGATGTGGGGGCGCTCACCACTTTGGTCCATGCACTCGTAGTCTCAAGATTAGACTACTGTGATGCACTCTATGTGGGGCTGCCTTTGAGATTGACGTGGAAACTTCACATGGTACAAAAGTGCCACAGCCAGACATCTAACTGGAGTGCAGAGGCACCAACATATTTCCCCCACGCTGGCCGCCTTGCACTGGTTGCCCATTCGTTTCTGTGTTGATTTCAAAGTTCTTACGATTACTTATAAAGCACTAAATGGTTTAGGACCTCGATATCTGGCAGAGCACCTTCTTCCACCCAGTTCTGCCAGAGACACTCGTTCTAGCCAGGCCGGGCGACTGAGGGGCCTAATGCCGAGGGAGACCCAGAAGGAAAGAACAAGTAACCGGGCCTCGGCAGTGGCCCTTCGCCTCTGGAACAACTTGCCTGTTGAGATCTGCCTGGCTCCCTCTCTGGGTGTCTTTAGAAGTAAACTTAAGACATGACTATTTAGGCAGGCTTTCCCTCCTGCTGTATCTTAATATTTATATTTTTTTCATCTTGGATTCTTGCATGTTTATTGGTTCTATTGAAGTTTTTTCTGTTGCTTTTTATTC